AATCTCAGAATGTTGTGTAAGAGCATTAAAACTGTATTCAAGTACAAGGTCACAAAAGAAGTAATAATTATTATGTTGTCAACATACGGTACATAACTAAGTTAAATACAACTCACAAACATTTTTATTTTCACAGCCTTGCAAGGAAGAAATTAACAATACAGCAAACATACTGAAAACTCACTTTATGAAAAATGAGAAAAATAAATTATAAAAATTGTTAGCAGTCATACGATTGGCTCATCTTCATTTCACATGCACACAGGATAACTTGACGAAAACAAAGTGTTATTAAAACATACAATTAACTTGAATGAATTTCTTCTGATGAACATATGGAAAAGTTTCTAGGGATCATATTCTGGAATTACATGTTAACAGCACAACATAAAAAACACACACATATCCTTATAAGTACAGTAAAAACTTGTTCCAAACACACAAATTTTATAATATTGCTATTTACAATGTATATGATTAATTATTAAATCTGTAAAAAGGCTGGACATAAATATAAATGGGGATTCATAAAAAATATGAAGCTATCCCTATAATTGAAACTATACTAGCATAGTACAACTATAAAAATGTTCTGAAAAATGCAAGAACTCTGTAGAAAAAGTGTTTTAGTTTCAGACGATAACATGTTTTTAAGCACTTATCATCATATTTTATTGTTGATGTTTCCAAGCATATGTAAGCACACCAAGTAAAGATTAAGCAAACATCTTCTAGATTTAAAAAAAAGTCTGAAAAACAGTATTTTTACTTGTAAAATTACTATGCAAATAATAACGTAAAGTTAGAAGGGACTGCATCTACTTAAACTTGAAATATAAGTTTTGTAATATTACTTTCTAAAACTAAAAAACCCAAATGTTTTCTTAATGTAAAAAGCACAAAAATGTTAGTGTTTGAAACTGACAGATATGTAAAACAACTACGGTTCATCATATGAAAAATAGGTAGAACTATCATATTTAACATTACAACAGTCATTCTGAAAAAAAAAACTTTTAGACATTGTTTAAGACTAGCTTTTATAATAGCAAACAGGCAGTACTTAAGGTTGATTGAAACAACTGGAAGTAGTTGTTCATGAATAATGAAACGTATAATGGTGTATCTGCTTGGATGGGAATGATACTAAGCTAAACATTATAACGCAAATGAACCAATAGCTTGCTCTACATCATTCTAATCATTAAAATGCTTAGACCTTAGCAAAGCACTATTGTTTGTTCTTCACCTTTTATACAGCCTTTAATTTTTTTTGTTACTTGTTGAAATTGAAAGTATTACTGAGAAGGTGATAACGTATTTTCGTAACAAAGAATTGGCGGTTCGTCCGTCAGACGAATCTTGCTGGATTAAAGATGAAGATATCAAAAAATTTAGCATTATTCAATTGAGGAATCAAATGACTATTTTTAGGACTTAACTACAGCAGAAGGTGAAAATATAAAAGCACTAGTGGTTTGAAAATGTAACAAGAAGTCATCTTGATCACATGTAAACCAATAGAAATAGGTAACATTCTAATAATTGCATGCATAATTTATAAGTATCATATTCTCCTCATGAATTTGCAATTTGGATTTTTATAAGCATTGGCATTACAACAAAGAAAATGCTTAGAAACTTGCCATGGATTGAGCCTACAACCCTTGATTACACTTTTGCTCTGAAACTTCAGTTCTATTGCCCAACTCCTGTGTCGGCAGTCCCCGAATTTGGCTCCTGTACACTGTACTATCCACATAAAAAAAGAATCATGTTGTATGCACATGAGAAATGGTGTACATACACACAATATCCATTTAAAGTTTGACAGAGAATGGCTGATTACATAAACATGTCCTGATTGGCTTTCCTTGCACGTCAGTCTTGGTAAGTACCATCAGGCAGACCCCGAGCTGCACAGTTCATAGAGTACAGTGTACCTCTCATGGCTGCCTGAATTCTTAGTATCTTGCTAAAACCTCTCAAGATGCTCTTACTCTCTGAGAGGTTACTGACCCCCCCAAGCCCCTCCCCCACCTCAATTAACATATCAGAGTTCAAGTCCTGAGCAGAAAACTCACACGTCTGGACATTCAGAGTATACCTAGCATGCATTTGTAGATTGCAGAGACTAGTGCTTTACTTAAATAGAAACATTAAGTTTACTTGTAGATCTTACACATTTTGGATAGTTATAAGTTGTTCTTTACCTTTTTTTTTTTTCTATTTCCTACTGTCAGTCGCCACATAAAGAAAAGTTAAATACCCTGATCTAATAATATAACATTGGATTCCATGTGCAGCAAAATTTATTTCAGTACCATTCACAAAAACCCACACACAAATATATTCAGTGTACCCTGTCAGATGACTCAAAATATACCATAGTATTACATTAGACTGATATTACACCATTAAAACAATTTATATTCAAATCAATATTAACATTATCACAAGAACATACTCCTACATGAATGGATACTGATAATTCTAGTTGTTGGAAGCATTTCAAATAATCAATAACAGTCTGAAACTGAGTGGACTATTGCTGGTTGACTATCTTATTCCTCAACAAACATGTGTAGTACACTGCTTAAAATGCAAAGAAAGAACGGTTTGGTGTACAGTGACATTAAAGCAAGCACAAGTGAAAAACTTAGCTTAGTATTAACAACCCTTTCATAATTAGCACAAGTGAAGAACTTGGCTATGTATTAACAACCCTTTCATAATTAGCACAAGAGCTTGGCTAAGTATTAACAACCCTTTCATAATTAGCACAAGTGAAGAGCTTGGCTATGTATTAACAACCCTTTCATAATCAGCATGGTCTTGCTAGAAATTCAGTTCTGGAATTTTAATTTGTACCTATCAACTTGGTCATGAAAGATAAGACTAGACCAGACCCACCCCAACAGCAGTTATTTCAATACAGAAATATGGCTATAAGAATCCTCAAATCCAAGCAGAAACACAGTTAAATTATTAACTTTTTTTTTGTACTAGAATCATAAGAAATGAAATTAAAAAATTTGCAAAATTAATCATTTCTCAACACTTTGGACTTGTAAGCTCCAATTATTATTATCTGAACTTCTAAGAAGTTATATTTAATCATATATAACATTCTAATGCTTAATTTTCTTAGCTTTTCTTAGTAAATATCTATGACTAGTTGTTCATAAAATATAAATCTATTTACTGTTTATAAATTCCACTTTTAGAAAATAATATAAGTCATAGAATTTTGTAGTTCTAGAAAATGTCCGAGGCATAAAATAGTGGCATTTAACAGAAGATTTACTACATGTATAAACTGTCACCGAGGGATCAATATCATTATTTATCTAATTTTCTATTACACTAATTGGGGTTTCTTGGCATAATTTATATATATTTGTTCCTGAACTTGGGTACTGGTCCCAAAATCCACTTGGATAAGTCTGATAGATAAGACAGTCATGAAAAAAAAAAAAAAGAAAAAAAAGGAAAACTGTTACATGAAGAAATATTTATGAGCTTGAGAGTTTATTGGAAATCTTCTGAATACCGATTTGTTCATACTACTAGTAGATCTTAAATAATACCTAATGGTGCATAAGACTGTGTATCACATTAACATACTCAATGACTAAAAATATTGATGCAACTGAAAAAAACTATTAAATGGATTTTGCCAAGTATTCTTTTTGTTGAGCAGCAATGTTAAAGGACAGACCCATACAAAACTTGCTAGAAGTACTTGTGCAAACCAAAGACAAGCACTTTCAACATCCAAAAAAGAATTCCTTATTTCTGAAATGTGTACTTTGTGTACTCAATGAAAAAGAATTCAGATGTTTAAGTCTAGATTTGCGTGTCATTTTTTCAGTGAAGCATGAAATTGGATATGGAAAACATTGTACTATGATAAAACAGACAAAGAAGCTTCATTTTACATTTCAGACTGAAGGAACACTGGCAAAAAAGAATGATCTTATAACCATTAATAAAATTGAAATTTTCTAATGTACAACCTTTGGGAATAACTTAAGTGGTCTCCATGTGCTGTGTGTGTTCTGGGCAGGCACTAATAACGTACATCAGGCTAGCATAAACAAACTTGTGTTTCGTTCAGTGGAAATCGTATTTAAAGAGTTGCGAGCATCTCTTTGGTTTCATGGCAACTTTGATCAAAACAATGGACCCTTTATGCATTGACAATATGCTCATTAAACAAGTAGAAAGGCACACGGTGTAAGAGAAGAATAGAATAATATCTTTTACATAAAAAAATCATTTTACCAAGATAATATATTTCTTTATATATATATATATATATATATATATATATATATATATACACACACACATACTATATATATATATATATATATATATAT